GACCTGGGGTTGTGGGCAGCCGTTTTCCCCTCCTGCGTGTGGACCGGCTGTGAGCCTGCTGGCTGATTTCCAGCAGCAGGTAGGAGAGAAAAGGTTGTTAGTGCAACACTAAAATGGCTCCCTTTTCTCACAGGAACAAATCCTTTGCTGGGGAAAATCTTTGACTTGCCTCTGACTCAACTTTGAACGCAGCTTCTACCTCGCTATTCTAAGTTCCCCAGCTAACGCTGGTCTCAGGGCACGTAATCCAAACCGAATCCATCTTGTTTCCCTGTGGATTGGCGTGGAAATCCCCCCGTAGCCAGGGGAGCTGTCAATGAGTGTCCCTCCTCTCTAGCCGTAGCCGTTTGTATGAGCAGAAACATCTTGCTAAAGCATCCAAGAAAAAAAAAAAAAAAGAAAAAAAAAATTAAAAAAGGGAAAAAGAAGAAAACCAAAAGAAAGGAATAGTATCGTCTGGCCAAGTTAAGACAACTCTGTGTGTGTGCGTGCTCTGAGTCCACCTCGGAGGTGGGGAAAGTTCTCTGTTCTCTGTGTGCGCTGTTGGGCAAGAACCTGCTCCAGATGTGGTAGGGCGCTTCGTGGGACGCCTGTACCTGCTGGATACTGCCCTCCGCACCCTTGGCAGGGGAACATTTGTTTGAGCGTCTCGCCTACCCCATTTCATGGGTTGAAACTTTCTGGCCTCTCCAGCTTCAGCGTGGGCAACAGGCAAGAGAGAGACGTGTTGCTTCTTTTTGACAGAGATTGCGCTGGCTCAGCTGGACCAGATAAAGCCGCTGAAGCAGACGGTTTTGAAGTTTGCAGCTGTCATCGGGCTGGTATTTACCACCCAGCTGCTGTCGCACATCCTTCCCACTGACATCAGGCACAAGATGAATTTCTTGTTGGACATGCTGGTGAGCGACAACATCCTTAAGTGGCTGAAAAGCACAGAGGTGCCAGAAGATGTCCAAGATGCTACCGAGGGGCCAGCCAGTTCTCCGCAGGCAGGGCGCGGTAAGTGGTAGCAGTAAGGTAGACAAGGGAGCTCCCAGCTGTGTCCCACCGGGCTCCCCAGGGCACGGTGCGCTTTTTCCGGTGATGGAAGCCATGGAACAGGCACGGCTGTTCGGAATGGGTTGTCCAAAGCTCTTACAAGTCAATCTCAAAGCACGCTAGCTTTGATTCCCCTGTGGTACAGGGCGGGAAGCTCAGGAGGCTGGGCGCTGCCTTGCCAAGAGCCGGGAGAAAGCGCTGGCCAGGGCTTGCTTTGGCCAGCAGCAACATCCCCAGCGCCAGCCCGGAGCGCAGCTGAGCACTGTGTCCCCAGGGCTGTGCTAGCCTCAGCGAGGCAAGCCGGGGTCTTTCGCCTTGTGCTGCAGGGCTCGGCGTGCAGCGGCAGCGCTGGTTCGCCGCCAAGGATGCTCACCAAAGCGTGACTTTCATGTCCTGGCTGGGCCAGCCCCGAGCCCTGGTCCCAGCTCGGGCTGATGCAGAAGCCCTTTCCCTTGCAGGTGTGAAGAGGTCCTCTTGGAGCAAGAAGACGGTGGAGCGGCAATCTGGCGTTCTGGTCTTCTGTGTCCCGCTGCTGCGGGAGGCTGCCTACGAGCTGTGGCTCGAGAGACAGCGGGTCGCCTTGCACCGTAAGTGCGCCGCCTTCCTGGAACGGCACGCGCACAAATGCAAGAGCTGCAGCCAAGGCGACTTTGTTGACTTTCACCGCTTCGCCGTCACCGACACCCAGGATGGAAGGAGCTGTCAGGGTCCTGCTGACCAGGACGACTCACGCAGCTGGGAGGCCTTGGTACTCGCAGGAGAACAGATGAAGAGGGATAGGACCCATGCCACTGAGGGTATGCCGTGCACCGTGCTCTGCAGCCCAGGCCCTCCGGGAGGCCAGGGGTGCGTGTGGGGAATTGGGTGGGAGTAGGTCTGCTAAGGATGAGCCCAGGTGGTAAGGATGGCCGCTGCAGACTGTCCTCAGTGTGTCAGGACCCTTGCAAGGATCCTCGCAAGCCCGCTGGGAGAGGGAGAGCAGCTCTTACCCCAGGGTACGCGAGGAGGTGTCTAACCCCCTGTTTTCTTTCCAGATGTTGCAGATGCTCTGCAGCAGCAGCAGGCTTTCAGGGAGGAGGATTTTGGGTGAGGAGACAAAGTTTTGATTATTTTCGAAGGCAGTGAGCTCAGGGTCTCCAGAGGAGACAAAGGAAGCGCCGGCATTTGGCTGCCAGTTGTGACTCTGGCTAAGGGAACAGGCTTTGTGTGGGCTGGGAGCTGGGAGGAGAGACGGCCATGGAGATGAGAGAGTGCTTGAGGATGCCCGTGGGCTCAGAGCGATCATCAGACTGCTCTGGAGCAGCCCTTGCTTTCCAGTTCCTACAGAGTCGCACTGCAAAAAGGGGGGAAAAGCCACTGCAGGGACTCGGGTGGCTTGCCTGTGGGAGGTGACACAAAGCCCAGCTTGTCTTTTCTCCCTACCTGCAAAGCCCCTGTAAGAGTCCTGCCTGCCCGTGGCCTTGTTGCTCTGCTTTGAACAAAGGGCTTTTGATGCCGTCTCCGTGGGGAGAAAGGCCGGTAGAGGTGATGCCCGTGTATTCTTTGCTTTCTTCTTCCCCTGCGAACTGTGCTCGGGCTAGTACGGCAGAATGGTTTCTGGCAAAGAGCGACCAGACGACTGAGCTGCCCAGCGAGACTGAGGGGAAGGACAACGGCACGTGCTCGTGCAAATGCAAAGCCATCGTGGAATCGGTGCTTGTGCCTTTGGCGCGCCACTACGTGGCGATGGGCGATGCTGCCAGGGCCTTTTACTACCTTGTGGAGTGTGCGGCTGCCTACCTGCGCGTCTCCAACAGCTACATGGTGAGTTGCGCTGCTTGCCAGCACCCGGGGGTGAAACAGACCCTCTTAAGACAGATGACGGAGACAACGTGGGAGGACAAGGCTGGCCATGAGCTCTGCACCCACGCTCACCCGCTCTCTGTGTGGTTGCTCAAAGGCCCTCGTGAAGCTGAACGAAGCGGAGGTCCTGAGGAACTCAGTAGAGAAGAAAGCGAATGCGATAGCCCGCTTTGATGAGGCCACCTTCTTCAGCCTCAAAGGGGAGGTAAAGAGACGGGGAGGCCTGGAGGCATCTCCCGGGGGACG